TGTCTGGAATGAGTTGTTATGAGCAATCTGCCAGGTCCCATCACTGTGAACTTACAGGAAGCTCTGAGAATGTGTTACTTTACTTTCAGTGTGTTTTATATGATTCAGTCAGAGCTGCAATTTTGTGCTGTGGATTTTGTCTTTTGCTTGTGTTTGCTTTTTTTTAAAAGAATGTTTGCAGTTTTAATTACCACATTGGTTTTATTATGTACATTTAATATTGTATTCTACACCATGGGAGGACTCCTGTCCTGAGAGGCAGCTAAGAAACTTTTGAAATAAAATAAGAAACAGTCCTAAATGTCTGAAAACTATAACCTTTTTATCTTGTCAACTGATTCTAAATGGAAAGTGAAGACAGAATGGTATTAAATATATTAAAAGCTGGATCTAATCTGCTAGCAAATTTAATTGTGAATTTTGCACACAACATCCCAAATACTTTGGCAGTTATCATGCCATTAAATCTAGTATTATAGCATTTGCAAGGTCCATAGAATAATGCTTTTATCAGAATTACTCAATATTCAGCATGAGCTTCTGAGGTAAACTTTTCTTTCTCAGGCTGCTTATTAGGATCGATGTTGTACTAACCCTTTTATTTTACTGACCCCAAGTGTTTTGTTCATTACCAAAATGACGAGTGGAATTTAAGCTTGCCACATCATCGATACAGTGTATTTTTAGACTTCTTAACAAAATGTTCTAATCTCAAAAAACTAAGCATTGAATTTTAACACAGCTGGTAGCCTAGGGTTACATAATTTAGCAATGTGGAGACTTTGTCAAATTTCAGTTCCTATCATGATTCATTTCAACACATCTGTAAATAACATGTAGTCAGTAATATCATCTTCAAGCCTGTTACTGTTACAGTGCAACTGCTGCCTACTGCTGGGAATGTATTAACTTCATTTCTCTGAAAACTGTGGTAATATATTTTGTTAATCAGTTGCTTGGTGTGAAGTGAATGAATAATACCCATTCTTGCAGAAATAAGCTTCAGCTATAAAAAAAAATTTCTTTGTTCTTACAACTGAATCGTATTCCCACAACTAAAGTTGCCAAGAAGGTAAGGCCAAATAGTATTATATAATTAAAGCAAGTAAAACATTGGCATTTTCCATTATAATACTTGTTGAGATTTAATTATACACCTTCATGAAATCCTTTATTTTTACACACAGAAAGGAATTTTAATTAAAGTTTGTGCAATAGTTTAACCTGAGCTGCTTTAGCACAATTACTTTGGTAATTTGATAAATATATGCAATTACAGGATTCATCTGATGTTGAGATTCATAAATTGTTTGCATGTACTTTTGTCAGGTTCTTTTGCCTAAAATGGTGCTAAGAATAAAAGCAGAGTCTTTTGAGCAGGACTATGCCAGAATACAAAGCTTGGTGTTGCTTTATCCTCTGAGCTAAGGATATTCTAATATATTTGCCCGTAAGACCAAATTGACATTCTTTTTGAGAAAATGAGGATGGGTACAATCCAGCCAAAGTTAAGCACGCTTACTGCCTGTTGATTTCAGCAGAAGGAGCAAAGGTGATCTGCACTCCCTCATCTTTTTACCTGCTTATTTTGCAACACTTCAGAGGGGAAGGGAAAAAGTCTGGCAGAGGCTCAAGCTATCAATCTGGAGCAAGTTTCCTGCAGATTAACATGCTCTCTTCAGAATACTAACTAGCCTGCACTGCCATCACTAGCTAGGGCTAGGCAAACCAGGCCATCTAGTGAAACATGCAAGGCAGGAAGATAGGGAATGAAGATTCCTCCTGGTGCTCATCCCAGCCTGTACTGGATGACTTCTGATCATCAAGAAAACAATCAATAGGATTATGAGCAAGGATAAATCTCTATTATGCAGGGTAGAGAATTAAAATAAAATGTTTTTTCAGCTTAGCTATAAATATTTAGTAGTTTTCAGTTAACCCAATGCTGCATTTTAAAGGGCTTCCTGAATACAGAAAATATAACTATCCACAAGAGAAGCAGAAAAACTGACAATCATTATATTATGCAATAGTTTATGCTTCTGATTATTTACAAAAATAGAAGTTGCTTCTGACATTTACTCAGGGCTAATTCATTACTCATTACTAATTCATGCAATACTGAAAAACAGTATCAAGGAAACACAGTTGCAGCTGCTGGAAATAAACACCTGTGCAAATCATTTTGTGCAAGATAGTTTGTTCAAATGACAGCATGCCTTATGTAGGCTAGGGAAGAATAACTCTCCAGCTGATCAAATAACATGAATGATTTGGTGACAAATCATTTTCTTGCAGAAAAACTTTAAGGTGTGGACTTCTTTATTAAATTCTTCTTAATATAAACAGGAAGAAAACCACTATCACATCAAAGATGGGTCATAAATTAAAATGAAGAGTTAAACCCTTAGATTTATCAATAAATGCACCTGTTCACCACACACTTATGGTACACAACTTTAAAGTCCATTAATTAGCTTGCACTGTTGAAATTGAAAACCTCTCACCCATTTATTTAAACATTATATACTGTTCTTCTGGATTCCTCCCCTCCTCTTTTTAAGAAAAGAAAGAGAAATACCAGCAAGGCTATAGTCTTCACTGATTTTTGCTGTTGATAGTATCTTTTGAGGGTATGCCATCCTCATCTCGAGATTTGGAATATTTCAGTAGCAATCTGGAGGAACCAACTAGACACCTGTGGGAAGCATACATATCTGAGGGAACGTCTGCTCCATATATTCCTACCGGACCACTAAGATCTTTGTTGGTGGTCCTTCTCCAAGATCCACCCAAGGGTGCAAATGGGTATGAGAGGTGCCTTCTCTGTGATTGCACCCCACATATGGAACACTCTTCCTAAGGAAGTGTGCTTGGCACCTTTGTTACTTGCTTTTCGGCAGCAGGTTACTTTTCTATTTAATAGGCAGTTTTAGTGGCCAAGCTGATTTTTATTCTGTTTACTTATCCCTGCTTGCTTATCATGTGTTCCTGCTGTCAGGATCAGATTTTATATTTTTATGGATTTTATGTTTGTATGTTTGATTTCATTACTCTATTTATTGCTTTATTGTTGGTTGTTCATGGTTTTATTGTAACCTGTCCAGACAGTCCTTTGGGCTATAGGGTGGTATATAAATACAATAAACAAACAAAACAGGTGAGACATGAGTGCATTAGCAGATTCCTGCTCATGTTCCCTAGAAACTGGTACTCCGGGGCACAGTGCCTCTAACATTGATGACTGTTTATATTGCCTTCATATCTTGTAGCTATTGATAGCTTTATTATCTATGAATGTCTAATCCCTCCGTAAACTAAGTTGGTGGCCATCACTCCAGCTTAGAATTCAATAGTTTAACTGTGCACTATGTGTACTCTAGATCAGACCCAAACATCTCATTTAACTTCATTAGATCATCCTGGAAGAAAATATTTCCCTAGGAGCTTTCTGCAGATATTGCAGTTTTCTGTGCCTCTATCAAGTACCCTCACTGTTTCCCTCTAAACTAAAAAGCCTCAGATGCTGCAGTATTTCATCACAGGAAGATTACCATTTATCATTTTCTGAACTTTCCACAATTCTTAGCTAAATAAGGAAACTGTAGTGCCCAGAACTGTATACTGTTGAAATGCATTTGCACTGTAAATATGTATCAAAGCACTGATACCAGTAATTTTAGTTTTATTCCTTTCTAATGATCCCTAAAATGGCTTTTGTCTTTTCATATCAACCAAACACAGGGGCAGTGTTTCCTGGTCAGACACCACAAGCTTGCAACCAATGCATGTGCACATGTGTATGAAGTTAATTTTTTTTGCCCCAGTGAGCAGCATTTTACCCTTGTTTTATTGAACAACACTTTAATACCCATTTTCCTAGTTTGGAGAGATGCTTTGGAGCTGTCTCTACATATTTGGCATTGCCAAGCAAACCTAGCTTCCTTGACCATAAATCCAGATGGATGCACTAGACCTTGTTTATATTCTTGGGGGACTGCCCTGTTTTGCAACTGCACTCTCCATTACAAGAACTGACAATTTTTTCCTACTCTTTTCTGTAACCAGTTATCTATCCTTGAGAAATTTCATATGATGAGTACTAAATTTCTGCAACACACTTTGATGAGGGATTTTATCAAAAGCCTTTATGGCTATTGACAATGAAAGGTTAGAGATACAAAAAGGTTAAGAGAGTCACACTGATGTTTCAGCAAGCCTTCCTTCTATACGTGCTATTTTTAATGCCACTTTTTACAATTCAACTAGAACAAATCTGACAGAGCTAACCAGCCTATAGTTTGCTTTATCCCTCACTCCTTTTTTAAAGTGTTGCATCTATGGAAAATGTAATCTTCCCCCTCAAAAGCAAATAAAAAAAACAAAACCTGAAAAACATGGCATTATATTGGGCACTTTCCAATGCAGATTGGAATCAATACATAAAATGGGGGAAGTCATTGAGTGTTTACCTAGCTAGACACAACTTAACAGCACAATCCTATGCTTACAAAAGTAAACAACACACTGTTTAGCTGTGTACTCCAGCTAAGTATGCCTTGGACTTCATCTACACTTAAGCACACTAACAAGTATGTTTCACTGGATACAATGGGCTTTACTTCCAGGAAAGCTCTTAAGTCTATTTAAATTCTGTTCTCAGTAAATGTTGCTCTAAGTATATTTAAAGCTTGCTGGTGCCTAGTTTCTTGAACTGTCTGGATACAGTTGAACTGTTTAGATAAAAATGTAGTACATTAGCAATCATGATTTGCATTAACCAAGTTATTGCTAACTATATTCCAACAAACACATCAGCTCAAATGCTATGGTGTGTGTCACAGACCAGGGAAAAAGCAAACATTCTGAATACAAAAGGCAGCATGCTGGCCATTATTAACTTGAGGCAAGAAAACCTGAACCCCCTAGCATGGGACTGGCATAGTAAAATGTGGTTTGTTTACAAGTAGCCACTAAAAAATTTCCACAGACAGAACAGATTTCATTTTTATTTTATTCATGGATTCCATTGCAAACATAATTGAAAACAAGATCAAGGACAAGATTATGTCACATTTATTCCTAATTGTGCAAAAGCAACCAGTGTTACTGTTACATATTTTTAGTGTGTCCATTTAAGAATTTAAAAGTATAATAGAAAACAAAATCACAGTTTTCTATTCACAAAAAGTGAACAAAGTTTCCACAGTTAATTTAATTCTGTTTTGTAGAAAAAGTAGAATTAGGTCCATTTTTACAAAATTGCAACTATAATTATAATTTCAGAAAAATAATTTAATGTCCTATATTCTCCCAGAAACTGTAGTTGAAACTGATCATCATGGTATGCCATATAAAGTAGCAGCAGGACACAAGTTATGGCAGCCCAAGAAACAAGTGATTTTAAGGTTCATTTAAGGTTTGCTGTTTCAGAATTTATTTGGAAAAGGGGGATTAGAATTTGGCACAACTTGCATCTCTGAAGCCCAGTACTGTAAGATGTTTATCCTACATCTGTGTCTACCTCATGGACTTCCTAGTGCAATTAATAGGAACAGGCAACATATCTGTGCCACTAAAGACTACCTTCAGAAAAGCTCTCCTCCTCTTTCATCTAACTGTGCAGCCCATGAAATGAAGATTCTATGCTGTATTAGCACACGAATCATGTAGGCATGGAAACTGTTGGCTTTCCATATGACGCCTATGCCGTACATGCAGAGTGGAGCTTTGAAGTTTCACAAATCTCACTCTCAATTTGACACATATAGATCAACTCAATAAACAAAAGAACCTTAAATTGTGCTCAGTTACTTGCTGAGACATTTATCTCTCGGGTTACATGTAAGCGGCAACAATGAAAAGTTGTCGAGAGCATCCTACATTTCACACCAAAGCACACATGCGAAACAGTATCAAAAGTCAATTACATTGCACTTAATGAGAACGTAGTTATATTAAATATTTTGTAAAGACTTAAAAATCCTTTCAATCCCTTTAAATTTCAGTAAATTCCTACATCAGCTTTCCCCAACCTCCTGCACTCCAGATGTTTTGGTGACAACTTCCATCAGCTCCAGTTAGGAATGCTGGGAAGCTGTCAGCTAAAATATCTAGAGGGCACCAAGTTGGGGGACAGCTGTTCTAAATGATGCACCGCACACATTCTCTAAAAGTGAAGGCAACTTCACACAAGACAGACATGGAAACATTTTGAACATGCATATTCCCTTTAGCTCCTAGTGCACATATGTAGCAATATTACTGTCATTCAAAATGTTCACAGACTGAGCCATCGGATCAGGTGATTTCATATTGAAAAATAGCAGCAAGCCTTTTCTATTTATTGGAATACTCACTAGTGTGAGATTTTATGGCAGGAAGTAAGCTATATTATTTATTTCATGGGTACAACTTTTTGCAAAATTTTGCAGGTATATTTCATCAAATTTGAGACATCTTCAAGTACATTGACCAACTTCTTGCCTACAACTTATTTTAGTGGCATGGAAAGCAAAGGTCCTCACAGCTATAGACAGGACTAGCAGTAAGAGAAAAGGATACTTGGGACATGCTTGGACCTGGGAGGAATTGGAAGGTGGCCTTTGACAAAACTTCATCAGATAGGAAACTTCAAAAAGGGTATTCTCCTTTGCTGGCCTTACTCATCTATTCTCCACCACCCTGCTCCCACCATTTCTCTGTTGATACCATTTTTTTTTTTAAGATCGGGAAGATGACTGGCCTATGCACTAGCAGTGTGTGTGTGTATGCATGTGTGGTGTGGAGCTGGAAGGGTGGTGGTGGGTCCAAGTGATATTTTTTATTAACAAGAAAAATGCAAACAATTCTCCCCTGGCAAGTTGCAGACGGTGGTATTTTGAAACACATTAATTTTGAACTTTGTGGCTTACACATATTTTGCTCATATTTGGATACTTGGTGCTTTCATCAAAGAAATGTAACTGCCACTCCCCATAATGCTACTTGCTAAGATTTAAGGGGAAGCTTTTGGTCCAGTCTTTGAAATGACATACAGTTAAAAAATCCAATTTCCCACCACCAGGTCCTACACAAGCTAGCCACAGAAAGTTTCATTGAGACTGTACCTTCCAAGAGAAAACATGGCAAGTTTCGCTATTTAAACCTTCTTATGTCTTTTCACCTTGCTGTCTAATTTTTACTGTTGGCTATTACCGTCCTTCAAATATGTTGCTTCCTTGTTTCTTGGGTCTTTGGCTTGTCAGTATATATGAAAGCCTGTATATTTAAAGTATATTCTGAAAAACTCAAACTCCTTTAGCCAAGAAGCTTCTGGCACTTACAGATTTTTAGAGTCTTCAGTACTCCTACATAATGAACATGAACGGAAGAGACAAAAATCAACAAACAGAAGGCGGTGTTTAAGAAAACAGCACCACTGATACTTCAATAATAAATGATGATCATGTTAAAAAACAGTTGTTGCTCCCTCAGTCGCTACAGAGATGGTTTGGCAGGCAGTGGACATTGTTATGGGTGGTTTTCTAGGAACTGGAAAAAGCCACCATGATTTTACATTTGTGTATATAATGTCAAATGTTTGATCAGTAAGATGTTTTCAAAATCTAACTTGCTTATGGCTATCTTCCAGGTCAAATTGTATAAACAGAGTGATGGCAGATAAGGAAGCGAACCTAGGCTTCTGTCCAGCGTATATTTAAGCAGGGAACAGGTGGCAGCAATGTTGTGTGTGTTCCTTATTCATCCTTCCCTAAATGGTCACACATATTATTTTGACAATAAACTGAGTCAAAACAATGCCGTCACAACAGAAGAGAGCACCAGATTCTCTTCAGATGTTGTGGTCTCCTGGAAATCCATTAAGGAGCTTCATTTGCAATTCCCTTAAGAAAAAAAAAAACATAGAATCAATAATGAAGTATTTTTGTAAAAAGATGTAACTTAATGCATTCCTTATTATGCTTTTTAAAAAGAAAGGTTTCGCTAAAAACATAAATCATATGGCAAATTCATATAATTCTATCTTAGAGCACAGACTACATTATTTTGGGGAAAATGGCAACATATGAAGCAGCACATCAGAAAAGTTATGGAATAGCTTGCTTGTACCAAGTAAGCTTAGAAGTGCTCCTGTAATTGACAGCTCTGCTTTCATTTCAGTGATAACAGTTTTCTGTATATTGAGGCTGGGGAGCAGAAAGAGAGAAGAGATGCTCCATATGAAATTTACCACTGAACAGGGAAGCAGTATATCAATCACACTACTCAAAATTAGTCCAGGCTTATCGCATGGTTGTTGAAATACACCACCATTCATTTGGTAATGGCACAGCAGGGAATGTGGACCTGATATTCAGGTGAACTTCTATTGCATAAACCTTAGCAGCAACCTTGACTTTCATAGATAGATTCCAAGCAAGAGGTTCCTACTAAACAAGCTAGCTAAAGGTGACATTACAAAAACAGGAATGCTGTACTATATTTCCTCCCTCTTGAGAGCATAAACATAACTGCTTTGATTTTACAAAGTACTAGTCTGCTTTAAACAGGATTATGACACCTTAATATACAAATCTATTGGACTATATTGTCACAAAGAAACTAGACCTCAGCCAGAGAATGTGGATTATGCATTGAAGAATTTGAACCACCACTGAATATATACTGCAATGTACATGGTGTACAAACACAAAACTGCAACTGTGGCCTGTACTTCATTGCAACAAACATCACTGCAATAAAAGGGCCTTTTTGTTTGTTTAGTTTGTTTGTTTTACCAATAGTGAGTTCTCTTGTCTGACAGTTATGCAGTCAGCTCTAAACATTAGTATTTACATAGGAGCATGGTTTCTTTTCTAAAAGGATGGATAAGCAATTTGTGGTAAGCCTTGAAGCCATTCTCTGAACACTTTTGAGTGGAAAGGCTTCCTATGACTTTCCAGTTTAATATCTTTTCCTCCACCAGGGTACCTCTGAATGTGGCACACTACAAGTTTTGCTCCATTTCAGACAAGACCCTCTTGCAGCCCTGGCATTGCAGACAGTATCTGGAAGTAACCTTACTAAAGCAAAGATAACTGGCTCTTATCAGTGCCTGGATGGGAACCTTCTGGGAATCCAACATATGCCAGCCTGAGTTTCATAACAGAACACATACATTTAATGCACATGGATATTTTGCTCTGAGGAGAACTGGCTGCCCTTCTAGGCCTCTCCAAGAACAACCTGCTGAATAATCTATCATAAGAAGCTGGAAATGTCTTGGTTTGAAGGGAAGAACTGTGCAGTACAGCATTTCAGAAGCCAGCTAGACACAAAAGTGACCTGCTGGTCAGAGAGCACTCCACTCAGAGAGGGTGCAGAATTGCACTGATAGTCTTTAAACATGTAGAGAAAGTGTCAGCATCAGGATAACAGATCAAAACATTCTACTCCTTACATCACTGGTACCATATGTGACTAAGAGCGAATACATGAGTAATGCATGTTGGTTTGCTTGAGAGTTAGCCCTTGGTTCTAAACTATCAGTGTGTAGAATCTTCTTAAATGTGTTGCACAACTTTAATTGATAGCATCTTTCATTCAAAGCATATTTGCAAATTAAAACCAATTATAGAACTGTAGATTCTACAATGAGGCTTTTAAAGGCCTTCCTAGCTGGTCACCCAATGGAGATTCTTATTTACCATAGGTAACCAGGAAGATGGTTATTTAGAATTCCACAGTAAGCAAGGAAAGGCACCACTTTGCACATGTTTTAAGAAGGCAGCATCACACACTTGTTACAGAATAACAATGAAGTTCACTTTGTATATCACATCTGACCTATCACAATTCAACCTTGTAACAGTGAATGGAAAATCACCTGTCTGATTTGCTGTGATTACATGCTTTAAAAATCCCATCTGACAATAGCAGCCTTCTAGTGCTTGTTTATGCTGTAAGGCATGTACTCTTCACAATACCAGAAGGGCAGGTGCACTGGTCTGTTGCAGCAAATACAACAGTTTCATGGTACTTTAAAGACTAATACATTTATTGTGGCATAAACTTCTGTGGACACTGACTACGTCTTTGGATGCAGGAAGTGTTCACATCAAATTAGCAGATTTATGGACACATGCTGAGAGGACAGAGATGCAAACTGTACCTAACAAACAGTCCATGGGTTATGTGAGAGCTGTATCCATCTCCAACAGCTATACCACCTAGGTTTGGATAACACAAAAAAGCTGAGCAAGTGACTGACAAATGAGGCTTGCTTAACCCATGGTGATTGTGTAAAGTATGACAATGAAGCCATCTATATGATCAAGCAAGTCATTATCGCTTGTTTTAATCCCTGGTGCATGCCGCATGCAATTTCCAAATCACCTGCTCAAGCACAGCTTGTCATGTCCTCCAAACCTGAGTGATATGGCTTATTTTGGGAAGAACCCTCAGGTAACCCTACAATATTCCATGTGTTATTTGAGGATTATTTCCTGCTTAAACAAGATATACAACCCAGTTTGGACAGCATGGCAAGCAAGGCCTAACTGGATAATTAGGGAAAAGGTGCTGGAGATCTGCAGAGATTAAAGAAAAGTGCTGTAAATTATTTAAGTACTATGGATGGTTTTGATCATGTAAACCAGGTCAATGTGTCACTTTTCAAATAGAGCCTTATCTTTTTGATATCCATGAGACATCAAGAACTAACAGACTTATTATAACATAAGCTTTTGTGGACTTCCACTGATCAGATGCAGAATAAAACCCTCAAATATCAGCAGGTTTGCTTTCTAAAACAGTAGTCAATGTGGTTCATCCTAAGCATTTATTTGTTGGTTTAAAACATTCTAAAGGTTAGCCCTTGGTCTCTTTGAAAACTTAGGTTTTTCAAAGACATTCCATAGTTTTGAGTTCTTAAAGAAAGAATTGAAGTGCATTTTTTGTCAGGGTATGTAGAAATTTAGGACCTCTGATCATGCTTTAGCACATTCTGCCTTAGAAGTAGCTTCACATAGCCAAGTGACCTGGAAGAGGTTCTGTTGAAAATAGTGGTATCATTCAAGACATTTCCAATTCTTTCTTACAAATTGAAAGCAGTCTAACAAACTAGCAGTGATACCTTGTAAATATAAACCAATTAAATAATAAACTAACCTGAGATGTACTTTGCTCCGATTAACATTAACAGGCTATTCATTATAAAAAAGCCCAAAGGCAGACTACAGAAGATACTAGTTTCACCTGATGTCATCCAGAAGAGGTTCCAGTCAAACAAATCAGAAGAGAAATACATGTAAATTGTATTATTTAAGAATCACATGTATAAAATTAAAAAGAGAGCAGCAACTTCTGCAAAATGCTACAGATATTTTAACATAGAATAATAATGATGAACCAAACTTTGATGCTCAGATATATTCCAACCATGCATGCACTGTCAATATTCAAGGGTTTTTTTAAAAAAAGAAATGCCAATTTAAAACTAATAAAGGAGATAATACAGAAGTCTAAAACAAAGCTATATTAAGCACTGAAAGATTATTATACACACAGAATCCATCATGGTTGGTGAAGGAGTACATGTATGCCTCCTATCACACATGCAAGTTAACATGTGACATAAGTGCTACAGACATAGGCCCAACACATGCAATCTTCTTTATTATTATTGCATTGCATTTATATCCCTCCTTTTTTCCTTTTGTGAGGAACCCAAGGCAGCTCACATAGCTCCATTTTATCCTCACAACAACAACTCTATGAAGTAGGTTGGGCTGAGAGTCTGTGACTGACCCAAAGTCACCCAGTGAATTTCATGGCCAAGTCGGAACCAGGTCCCAGATCTCCTGAGCCACAGTCTAATCACCAAATCACATTGGCTCTTTAGCCTTCTAAAAACCAAGATTGCATGAAGCAAGCCTAATAGCACAGTGTCCATAATGTCTTATAGACAGGGGATATGCCTACTCTATCATTCATATTACAGTCTTAGCTAAAGGAATGTGTGTCCACCATTACCTCCACTGCCAAAAGCACAAAGCAGCTAGCATTTATCCCTCCCAATTGTACGTGCTAAAGCTATTGACTCTGACAATGTAGCATATCAATGATCTATAATTATTTGTACCTACCATCCTAAAGCTGCAATCCTATACCCATTCACATTAGAATAAGCCCTGCTGAACTTGAGATTTCCTTTAGAGTAAATATGTACAGGATTGCACTGTACCAATGTAGGGTTAAGTAGCACTATGACTATGTAAGCAAACACTGAAACAGGAACAAAGTACTGCATCTAGTTAAATGGTTCCCAAATATTTACTTTCTAACCCACCTGCCACTGGTTTTGCTGAGGGAGTAACACTTTACTTTCTACATCTTCATCCTACCTGTCCTATGAATGATAACATTCAAAGTTATCGCTTTTTTCATCATGAAGGAAATAAGCTGTTCTCGTGGTGAAAAAAAATTGGATCAAAATCCCAGTAGTGTCTCATGAACTTATGAACCCCTGCTCTATTCAAATATTCTTGTTACAAAAACATGATAAATTCCATTATGATCTCCCTCTTTATCAATCTTTCACTGCATTGTCTCCAAGGGGTCTTATAACACAACTTCCATTTAACAGTTGTGTGTGTGTGTGTGTGTGTGTGTGTGTGTGTGTGTGTGTTAATATGTGTACAGATATAGAAGAGACCAGAAAGAAAGCAAATTAAGAAACAGCACTGAATGTTACTAATGTCAAAGCAAGTGCCTCACAATTTTTACTTGGCACATAAATGCTAGCAAATGATGCCTGACAAATCTATGGGGTGGGATTTCCATATACCAGCTACTGTTCTCCTGGAAGCCACCCACCTTGCCAGAGGTTATAGTGTTTCTGCTATAAATCTAACTGTCCAGGTTGATTGCTACTACTGAGTATTGCACGATTTCAAGTGCTTCCTAAAATAAAAAATGTAGACAGTGTAAACAATGTAACTTCTGAAAAAAAGAAACCCTGGGCCATTCAGAATAGTACCAAGTGGTTACTCTGGTACGAAAAAGTAAGGGGTGGGAGTGTGAGTAAACAGTTTCAGCTTAGGTAGCTTCTGTTCCCTGTTATCCTAATAATCGGAGAACAGTTCTGCATGCAGTTCTTTTGTTGCAGAAAAAGCTGCTTGGTCAGGCTGGATCAGGAGTGAGCATGCAAAAAGGAAAAAAAAAGGTGAACCCTGCACACTTATTCTTTCTGGAAACAGAGTGAACTCTATTTCCTTCCAGAAACACTATATCTACCTTGCTACTGCTAACCAGCCCTTACCCCTCCAAGAGCAATATGAAACTAACACTGTAAGAGCAGTTTAAGTCACAAGAACCCTTTGGTCTAAACTTGGATTTTTGGGAATTGTACAGTTTGGGAACTTTTCTTTCCCAAACTGTATAGGCGTGCAATAATCAAGAAAAATAACAGTTTCAAATTCACTCTGTAGTTGGTAAGAGCTTCAAGTGGAAATGGGGAGAGACAAGTGTCCAATAAGAAATCAACTACTAATTCTACCCACAAAAGATGGTATCTGCAATTTTAATAACCTTTGATCTAGCTGATGCAACTTTTTCCTCTCTGGCTGATTGTAGTATTTTAAAGATTTTTTTTCAGTTTTCAAATAGCAGTGCACCCATACTATAAATTTTATGGTAGATCTGCACTTTGTTATCTTACCTTGAAAAATAAGGCTCAAATAAAGTAATTTAGAATCTAAGGTTACAGTTCTAAGCCCACTTACAGGGAAAAAATTGTCTGAATTCATTAAGTTACATTTAAATCAGCAGTGGGTAGCTTCTGGACCTCCAAATTTCTGCATCCCCCTCATACATCACACTTAGCTATAGTAGTTAGGAGTAAAGTGCAGTCCAGCAATATTTAAAGAGCCACAAGTTGCCCATCTGTCATCTAAATGAACATATTTGTGGTCTCACTGTAGGTCAGTTTTATCCTTTAAGGAATAGCATTAATTAAATGAGGATAAGTTTAATATAGTCAGCCTACATGAGATCAGATTCATTCAAATGGTTGTTCAAGTAAAACTTCATTTGATTTTTATAGGCCTGGTCCCACTGGGGGAGATTATATGCCCGTTCTTGTTTCTAGTTGATACAGTAGAGGGGACAGCTTCCACACACAAATCGGTTTTTCACAATTTATTTACTGATCTCTCCATATGAGAATATACCCTCACAGAATGTGTATTTCACCAGTTTCAAATAAATTCCAAATAATTATTCATGGTTACATCCTGTTTTAGCATCTGGACAGATCAAAAATGTAATAATACTTAGGTACATTTAGACTAACACACTGCTGTCTCAGTTGCAGCTGCTAAGTTATAAACAGAGGAAGTTGCCGACTAATGTCTGTATTTAGATATTCCCCACATAAGGAAATACAGCCAGGCTGGTACTATCAAGGTATGATTTTAATAGCATCAAAATAATAAACAATTCTATTCTCACACTGTTAAAATTAATAGATTTTTCCATACTGCAACTCTCCTGTATGCCTACTGAAAGCATTTAGAATGGAGTTTGATCACAAAACAAACCACCACCAGTTATGTAAATCTCTGTTTGGGCTAACTGCTGCAGCTACAAGTAGCTTAAAATTTTCCTTTTAAGCAAAGGCAGGTAAGACAATATATGTATGTAAAACTGATGATTTTTATAGGACAGCTATACAGCCTTCACAAGCCAGGTATAAAAAAAGCAATGACTTACAATTTCCTTGAGGTTCTGATGTTTCCCAGTCCATTGACTTCTTAACAGCCTTCTTCCACCTGGTATAGCGATATTCACTTTCTGAAACCATAAGATATATTTTCATTCCAAATTCAAATCCCTCATTTAACAATTATCTTGATGCAACATAGAAACAATCTCTGTCAGATGATATTTAAACTGGCCCTTTTATCATATACTTCCAGATAGCTGCTTTCTGCATTCTTACAGGCAGCTAAAACAACCAAACAGAAGTGTGGGAAGCAGCACACAGAAAGGCAGCTATGTTTTTCCAAGGATATACCCACAGTCACTGTGCTAGTCCAATTATACCAACAGAACAAACTGTACTAGTCCATATTAGAGGTATGAATTAGCTAGCAGGGTGTGTTGATGCAGTCCTAGTCAACGGAGATCAGGTATTAAATTTTCTCCTTACCCTCAGGATTGATTTGTGGCTCAAAACGTTCACAAGTTACTGCAGTAAAGTCATCAGGATTTAGACTCCAGACTCCCACTCCTTCTGCAGCTCCTGCTGCCATAGCTGCTCCCAGTGCTGTAGTTTCAGGCATAGATGGCTTTACTAAAAGCACAAAAGCAAAGGCAAAATGCTTATGCACCCCAATACTTACAGGATAATGAAGTGTGAACAACTTTCACATTCCATCAAAAAGGATGGGGATTCCACCCCCACCCCAAACTTGAGTTTGTTGCTTTCAAGTTTTATCAAACTCTTCCACTATTTTAAGGTTTAAATTAAATTTAAATTTATAACCCAACAGCCAATTGATAAGAAATACATATAACAGAAAAGCTGTTATTGGATTTCAAATCTTGATAAATATGGCATCAAACCAAAACTGCATTGCAGTATTTGCTCAGAAGAGTCAAAGGCAACTATCAAAAAACTTACAATGCAGTGGTCGGTATCTCCCACCCCCTGTAGAAGGCCATACAGTATTCCCTTATTGGAAATCTGTTAGGTGCAATATATTGTGATGAGTGGAGTTGAATTGAAGCTAGAGCCAAAAGTGGGCGAGTCACCCCTTTTCTGCCACTCTCTATGTTTCTTCTCCCTTCCTATATAGCAAGGTGCCAGGAAAGAAACAGATCAGTACTGTATGTAAAAAAATAATGGCAAGGGATGCAAGTTTTCCATTCCCTCTATGATGAATTTCTATGAATTGCTGGTGAATAACCTAAAAAAAATTGGACAACTCAAGGTGCAATCCTATGCAAATTTAGACAGAAAAGAAGTCTTCCAGCTTCCAGCATTTCCTATCCATCCATACAGGGCTTTTTTATTTCTAAATGTGCACAAGACTGTAGCCTTAGTCAGTGAACTTGGCTCCTGTTTCACCAAATACATGGTTCTCTAGCAAGAATTACCATTGTCTAGGAAGAATTTTTTTCTAGCAAGAATTCCTGTGATACAGAAACCTTGACAGTAAAGGCAGTGTTGTCAACCCTAAGTGACAAAGTGAGCAACTTGCCTTCCTCCTCCCCGCTGAAGGAAATGGACAGTAAGATGGCAGAGGCATTTTCAAGAGAGGTAATTTTAGGAGAAAACCATTTCCTAATCATGTTTTGAGAATGACTATTCAGACAGCTCCTTCTACATGTACAGGGAATGACTGAAAATTGGTACAAATCACATATACTGCAGTGCAAAAACGTGGAATGGTCAAAAAGGCATATGTATATGTGAGCAGCAGCTTGCATAAAAGGGTTTCAAAGAACCAGTTTTTTAATATATACAAAGATTCAGCCTTCACAAACAGGGTTCACAATCCTGCTACATCAGCTACTTGAAAAGTTTTTAGTATAATTTTTTCCCAGTTGAAAATTTTCAAGGAACAGGGCAGCAAGTAAAGCCAAACAGGAAAAACACCACTTCAAATTATTTGACAATCATGCTTCTTTGATCTTAGAAGCAGTAGTTCCAAGTAGTCCATGGGGACTCTTCTCTTACCTACTGGAATACAGAGAATGTCAGCTTGGAGCTGCATAAGGATCTTGTTGTTGGTCATCCCTCCATCGACTTGTAACTGGCTTAGTGGTATGCCACAATCCTTGTTCATTGCATCCAGTATCTTAAAAGAAACTATTTACATGTTAAAAAAGATTCACACAAACTTTTCCAACAAGAAAAAAAATCTAGTTCTTTATGAAGCTGCTAGCAAAACAGCAGTTTCAAAAGTGCTATTTAAAACTTAGAAAATGCAAACAAAAGGATTCCTTATTCCACACAAATGAAGTACTAGGTGAAATGGGCACTCTAATTGCTTCTGCAGATGACTTATGTTTAAATGAGTAATCTTTTATGCTTAAGAAATAACAAAATGGTAAACCATACTCAAAAATGGCAAGTATGTATACAGCATTAATTTTATTTTGTTAGGGAAACAAATCAAGTGGGAAAGAAACAAAGCTCAAGAAATGGAGAGAAGGAAACAGTATTTAACAATTTCACCTGGACATTTATTTATTTTTTCAATTTATATCCTGTCTTTTTCCTACAAAGGGCTCAAGGCAGCTTACATCATTCTCCTCCTCCATCTTATCTCCACAACAACAACCTGTGAGGTAGGTCGGGCTGAGAGTCTGTGACTGGCCCAAAGTCACATTTGAAATAGATTCCCAGGAGATGAAATTAGTTACAGTTCAAAACCAATTTAGGTACGGCAGTTTGTGAAAATACATGTTTGCTAGCCAAAGACATCTGACATCAAAACAACACAGATTGCATTCTTTGTCCATACCTCACGTGTCTGAAAGCAGACAGCCTCTAGTGCAGCAAAGGCAATATGGTTTTTATTTGTAAACTGAGTAAGGCCACAGATTATTCTGTAAACAAAAGAAGAAAATAAACAGTGATGTTTGCAGAAACAAAAACTTTAATAAAATACGACTTCATGAGGCTGTCACAGCACCCCACTGTGGTATATGGAAGCTGCTGCATAAAAAGTATCTAGAAAGAGCATACTGTCAATAATGCAGCAGACCAAGCTTCATTTTCATTGTTGCAGCCCAGCAGAAGCAAAATAGTAGAACACAGGGAGGTACACTGCAGTACAGCAACAGTTCATTCTTTGCTCTTAAACCTCACCTCCTACTACTAAAATAGGGTTTGTGCAGATCGGCATTTAAGATCTGCTATTGTCACATGTAGTTTCCAGCACTGTGGCTTCAGCACAAATACCCTCTTGACATAAGGTACAATCCTTATACACAATCTTTTTCATTTTTAGATCAGAGTGCCAGGAACTTTCAATATTTAAAGTATAACATTCAGACAGATATACTTGCCCTCTTGCACTGGGTTCCCAGTATGGTGCATATAATCCTGAGAATGCTGGGACAAAGTAGCAGCCATAAGAAGTGCCTACTTCAGCAGCAAGCTTCTCTAAAATCAAAGCCAAAATAAAGCTTATCTTTGAACAATAATATTTAAAGTCAAACTGTCAAGTACAATTTTTCAATATTCTCCCGTGTATAAAAGTTTGTTGTACAGTAATTGCCCTAATCCCACAATACTGGAGTAAAGAAAGCAGAACTCCTAATTATAAATATTTGCAATGGCGTTTCAGTGGACAACAACATATTTGTGCTATTGACAGCATATCAAGACTTGCAACTCTAGTATTTCTGGATGAGGCCTCTATTGTGCAATTGCAGTGCCACATTTACAGGATTTTATGGATGCTCTAGACAGACATCACATTCAGTTTGCAGTCCTCCTGTGTTTTATTATCACCTTTTCAGACTCTTTTCTTACCAGAAAATAATCTTGAAAGGCATAAAAGCTGGAATATCTGCACAATGCCTTTTCAATATTAGTAATACAATTTCTTGGTCTAGAAGTACCCCTACAGTGCAATCATAAATATGTTTGTCCAATAGTAGGAGTTCAGTGATGTCTACTTCCAGGAAAATGGATATAAGATTACAGCATTATTGAATTATAATAATTATAACTGTATGTGGCTTTTCAAAACTCCTCCAAGTACTAGCAGTACCCTGAAAAAAATATCCTTTTCTATTTTTATGTTGCCTTCTATTTTTACAACAAATGCAATGGGCTAGTAGTCTTTTAGTTAAATACATATGCTATATTACCAGATTTTCTGACACTACTGATATATCAAACTTGGTGTCCTTCAATTGAGATACAGGAGATGAGGAAAGGCAGGTTGCTTACCTGTCACTACAGTCATCTGTGCATTCACACATACTGACTCTGTACCTGCATGGAGCCTCAGTTTGGGAAGCTTACGAAACTGAGAAGTTTTTGCAGGAACTCATCCTCCCTTCATATACTGCTTGTGCATTCCCACCTACATCCTCAGTTTTGTTGACACTAACAGTATGGCCACAGAACTTAGAAAAGGCATTGGTATCAACATTGGTACTGGTATCGCCGTGCCTGTAGTGTGTGGTCCTGACCCCAAAGGGATGGCGGGTGGGTTGTATGAATGCACTCAAGAACTGCAGTTCCAACATGTCTTTCCTCCTTATGGTATCTAGGCATCACACATATGGATAATTAAGAAGCTGACTTACTAGAGCTTTTTATCAGGTGCATAAAATTGCCATGGCTCCATGTACCGTAGCCAGGTACCCACCCTGGCCAGTGCTCTCTTCCACAGTAAGGCCTTCAATTTGTCTGGTTCTTCTGGTCTATTTAAGGCCTGACAGTGTGGACAGAAATATACAAGATGGCCTTCTTTCAAGCAGAGTATGAGGGGCGTTCAATGTATTTTTGGTATTGGGTTGATTTGCTATTGATGTGGGTAATTTAATTATTTCATTAGCTAATGACACTGAGGGTATACATGCAAAATTTCAAATAAGTGTGATCATTAGTTCCCTAGTAATCCTCAGTGAAAGACGACCATAATGACTGACGCAACAATGTTGAAGAAAATTGAGCACCACGCTGTGATTAAGTTCCTTACAAAACAAGGAAAAAGTCAAAAAACCATTCACGAAGAGATGGTGGCCGTTTACCAAGACTGCACCTTCATTATCTACTGTTCAAAAGTGGTCAAGTGAATTTAAAAGGGGCAGAGAAAGCATTGAAGATGACCCTTGCTCGGGCAGGTCGGTTACTGCCACTACGACAGAAAATGTGAAAAAAATTGAGGAACTTGTATTGGAAGATGCCCGAATAAAAATCAAAATGTTAGCAGAGGTGACAAACCTATCCGTTGGTACCATATTTACTATTTTTCATAACCATCTTAACCTTTCAAAGGTCTGTGCAAGATGGATGTCGTGAATGCTCATGGTGCCTCAGAAACAAGTGTGAGTCGAGTGCTGCAGGGAGTTTTTAGAGCTCTGTGGTGAAGATCCATCGAGTATTTTCGACCGGATTGTCATTGGAGATGAAACTTGGGTTCATCACTATGACCCTGAAAGTAAGCAGGAGTCCATGCAGTGGCATAAAAAAGGTGCTGACCCTCTGAAGAAATTCAAAGTCACTCCATCAGCTGGAAAAATTATGGCCACAGTGTTTTGGGACTCAAAGGGAATTTTATTGATCGAGTACATGAAAAAAGGTGAAACCATAAATGCAGCATCTTACACAACCACTCTGCATAATTTAAGAGAAGCAATTAAAGAAAAAAGTTGGGGAAAACTGACTGCAGGTGTGTTGCTTCTTCACAACAACGCACCCGTTCACACGGCACATGTTTCGAAGGCTGCTGTGCGAGACTGTGGTTTCGAAGAAAATAAACCACCCACCCTATAGCCCGGAACTGGCCCCCAGTGACTACTACCTATTCCCGAATTTAAACAAAGATCTTCATGGAAAGCGATTTTTTGATGATGAAGAGCTCAAGGTGGCAATTAACACACATTTTTTAGACAAGGAGGAAGGGTATTTTTTACAGGGAATTGAAAAGTTAATTTCTAGATGTAATAAGTGTATTGAAGTTACAGGGAATTACATTGAAAAATAAAAATTATTTCAATTTATTATTCCTTTTTCTTCATGCTGATACCGAGAATACATTGAATGCCCCTCATAAATGTCTATCCATAGGAGGTAGCTTGCTGCCACAGTGAAAACACTTCTGAAAGGGCACCTTGCAGGCCATACACCTCACAGATGAAAGAGTGATCAAAGATCACTAAAATAAAGGAAGAGGTACAGTTGAAAGAGTACTTCCTTTGATGAGAAATGACAATGTTCCCAACATGGCAACCACAATGGCACCTGAAGAGGAACTGAGGAAACAAGCAGGCATTTTGCTAGCACAATATGAAGGGTGAATGGATCCCTGTCAAAACTACTCAGCTATGAAATGTTCCTGAACTGAGGCTCTGTGCAGGTGCGAAGTCCATGTGTGATGCACAAGGAGGAACACAATTCTTGAGCAAGTGGAAGTAACTATGTACCAAAATGAAGTATTAAAGATGAATAGATACTCACCAACTTCATCTGAAGACTTTGCAATACCAAGGTTGTCCCTCAGCCAACGAACAACAGCACCAGCTATGGCAACAGAGCCCTAAAACAAAAGAACAGACCAAGCATGTTAATCACTTTCATTCTGAGAACACAGCATTGTGAAGCCAGCATACAAATTGGAGTCATGTCCTTTCCACAGTGCCTGAACTGTTTCTAAAGTTCATGGCTCATAATTAAGGCAACCCTAAACACAAAAAGATCAAAAATAGCCATATATTGCTGGGTTTAAAGGGGGAGAAAGAACTGTGATCGGAGAAATATGCAATATTAATGCAGACAACAAGATCAACTACATACACAAGCCTCCTTAACTTTAGCTATGGCTTGCCCATCTGAACTGGTTATCACAGGTCTAACCTCACAGACGAAGCTTTCATAGCACCCCACACCCCTTCTAACACAGTATTTCAGTTCAGCTACCAGACATAAAAACATACAACAACTGGATATAATGTAGCAGTGATACAGGTAACTGGACCAACTTTTTTTAAAGCTAGAGAAAACAGTCCTTGACTTCAGAGATACCACAACAACCAAAATCTGTATCTACTAGCCTACCAGCAAATTAGAGGCTTATATCTTTCCAGGGAGTATATAAAGCAAGTACTTCTGATACAACAAAACAACCAACTTGACTAGGTATCTGGCAAAAACCCAAGGAATGCAGTAAACAACAATTATACTTACTTCTAATGCATAACATACAGGTTTATCTCTGCCCAGTTTATAAGCCACTGTGGTCAGAAGGCCATGTTCAGAAAGTGCAGGCTGAAACCATGCAACACAAACAGTTAAACCTAGACATGTGCTATAAAAAATATTAGTCATTTCTACTACTTTAAGATGAAACAAGGAGGAGAAATTGTTTCAAGTCTTGATAACTACAAATTAATAAGTATTCTAGGGAAGATATTAAGTAATAATAGTCTAACTTTTTTTTTGTATCTACAGTTCTGGCTGAAATTTCAGCTGATACTTTCCAGCAGCAAGTAATAAATCAGTTTAACCTTTCCAGTTACCTTACTGTTCAACTGACTATAGCTTTCTAGCCTGTAACATTTCTTATTCAGGGCCTTTATTACTAAACAAATTGTTTAGGCTTTGTTAAGCATATGATTTTTTTGCAATCATATTAAGATTTTAATGGCACATTCCCAGATATGTTTATATTGAACTAAATCCTAATAAGTAAATCATTTTTACTTATTTCCAGGTTAGTGTATATAGGATTACATTTACAATTGTACAGGACATGTCAAAGGCATTGAGAAAAGGTTTAATTCTTCCATGACTCAACCAAAATCATCTTTTTTTGTTTTTAAAGAGTATCTTGCAGGACAAGATCTATTTCTTTGGGGAAAAATAGCAACTTGTCAGGACTTCAAGTCACTTAATTTACACCACTAACCTTTTGTCCTGTATTACAGAGTAAGAAGCAGCCTGTTCCATACCTATAATAAAGATGACAATATTTATTTATTTACTGCAATATGAAGTACAAGAAATACATAACCAACAATCATATATAAACAGACTGAAACTGGCATGCCATAAGAGAAGGAAAGAAATTAAGCCCATCTGTCTCCTTCTTCAGATACCATCAATGATGTTCATTCATTCTGGACTGTTAGATAAACCAGGAATGTGCTGGGCTACAATTCCCCTTAGAGGGAGATTATTTAAGAGCATCAACACCATCATACTATAAAAACTGTTGGTGTTATGTTTTGAACATTCTGTTTATTCAGCTAGTGAAACTGCTTCAGACACTGTGCAGGAACAGATTTTATAATCCTCCGCATATCGAATTATGGGATAATTTTACTGTGCACTTTTAGATTGTCTAGGGTGGCAGACAGGACAAGAGTAATCTAGTCATCCTATAACTCCCAGCATGACTGAGAGACACTGGAAGTTGTAGAACTTCTTTTTGTTTAAACCTGTGTGAGGCTACACCCAAGTCCTTTTGGTACTGAGTCTATAGCAGAGAGGATGTGGTGTCATTTCCCATGTTAAACTCACGTGTTTTTTGCTTGGCCATCTTTGAAGCACATTTGTCCCACTAAAGCAGCAGACTGGTCACCTAAGCACTGGAAGGACAGACAAATGCATCATGTTCAGCTAAAGTATACCCGCACATTTATGTTGTGAATCAAATCAGTTCTGTTATGTTCTTTAAAAAATTGGTCTAACCTTTGCCCAATTGTCTATTTAATTCCTTCTATAGAAAAAACACCAATGAATTTGACAAGCAGTATAATTTAAATGGGCTGCAGAAACTCAATGATCAATTAAGAGGCAAAATACTACCACATTTTAAAGATTCTGGTGTCTGGATTGCACTGCTTCCTAAGCTTCCATATTGATTATCTCCCTCAGTGCAACATTTACCAAAAAAAAAAAAAAGTTTTTTAAAGAAGTATTCTGTCTTTGCTGCTGTGAAATTCTAGGCTCAAAGCCTACAATACAGAATGCTTAACTTTTACTTGAAGGGTCACAATGCTGTAAAGTCATTTTAGGCAATTTGCTTGGAATGTACAGAACCAAGGAGATACATTACTTTGGAAATTTCACCCTTTGTCTTCTAGCATATAGAGTATACTGCAAAATGTATGTGGGCTACATGACCAATTTTTTTGTGTCATGTTTCTAGGCAGCATATGGCTTCATTTTGTTTGTTTTGTTATAGCAATCAGTTAGTTTGCACAGTGTTACAAATGGGGGCAATGCCCATTCTTTATGGACTTACCTGTTCTAGGCCTGAGCATGGAAACAGAACTGAAAACATTACTACTGCTTTATTAATATATGCAGTTCATACTTAAGACATGCAGCTTTTGTCAGTCATACCCTATCTAAATTTGCTTTCAATAAAATAAGTTATGGGAATCAGGCATAGTGCAACAGTCAAACAGCATTCAAAAATTGCACCAAAATTGTATCACAACTTTATTTAGGGAACTCACCCCAGAAATTGGTACACCAGTCAAAGCTCCAGAACTCTACCAAAAATAAAGACAGGTTTTTAAAGCTTGCTTTTTGCTTTTCACACAACAGCTGCTCAGGTATTTTACAAACAAGGAAAAAAACAGATCAATATCAAAGCCATTGTCAAAGTCGTAAGCACACTAAGCCCTGTCAGAGTATTTAGACAAATATATAAAAGTGGGTTGCCATCATGTATGCACCCCCACTACAACTGGGCAAATATAAGAGAAACAAGAAGCAGGAGAGGAGGTCTGCATTTAATTTTGAGATACCAGTCTAGCCTTCATCTCTCAGCATGATCAAGAAACAAAAATGTAGTAGTTTCCTTTCTATTAAAAAGCCAATTGAGTTTTACTTTTAGACATTAAAACAGCAATAAATAGAACACTGAGTTTTGAGATCATGTGGGACTACAATAAGAAGATAAACACACATTCAAAAAGTCAGTGCCTATTAGACAGGAGTGACTGTGACAGGGATTAGGTAAAGAAAAAGCAGGGCAACTCATTTTCAAAGATCACATTATCAGTGCTTCAAAAGTATGTGATGTTTTCTCAAAATGTTAGAAGAAATATGCCACTGTGTTCTTGCAAACAGGCAGGCAGCTCAACATCTAGTACTCACCCACTTCTCCCAAAACAAAACCAGCTTTTCTTTGCAGGCTGAATGAACAGGCTGTATGCATAGCACTCCGCAGTAGCACTTCAGTGAAGCCATGCATACCCTATAATCAATGCATTTCCATCTAGGGATATCTTTTTAGATGGCTTTTTGTAGTTGTGGTGAGATATACCACCAGCTATCTTTCATCTTGCTTATTTGTGCTCTCAACACTTTTTTCCCCCAAAAAATGTTGTAAAAGTGTTTCAGTGTGGGTAGGTGTGTCAGTTCTTCAGCTGAACTTCTTTGTAAAGCTTCAGTTTAACTTTGGGAAGATCACCTGACACATTCCCTTTTGGAAAAAGGATGGGATTTCCCCTAAGGAAATGCACTGCATTTGAGCATAATGGATGAAAATGTGACTGGTGGGCATCCTAACAAAATCCTACTCACCAGGTTAGGGGAGATTTTCTATAGTCAGCAAGAAAGGTAATGGGAAAGGGGAAAAGACACAAACAAGTTCACCGTTTCAAAGCCTGCTAGTCCATCTATGTTCCCCTGTGCATTCTCTCCTCTTAGTCTTATAAACTGTGGTTTGGAGTAAAATGAATACCATACCCACACAGCTATGCTTCAAAAGTGAACCCAAGTTTATAAACTTAATGACAGCATCACTAATTTCTCTTTTCTGTTTCTAAATATATAATAAAATAGTTTCTGATGTTTCTTAAATAATTATCTCAGATTAGGCTTCTCATTATCATTTATTATTATTTTGCATTTTTTTCAATTTACTTTTATACTGCCCAAGAACTCTGGTTTTTGGGCAGGCTATAACTATAATAAAATAAAAAGATGGCATTAGATAGCAAATCTTTCATTATTGGGAATCCTGCACTGTTATCAGACTAGGGAATGAGTGAGGGGGTAGGGGAAGAGACATATTTTTCAATTTCTGCATCACTGTGGTAAGAGGAACCTCAATTATTTCATGTGCTATCCAGCTATTAAAAGGGTACAGGAATCCCATCAACAGCCACTCTGCCCTAGAATCTGGGTTAGTCATTTAAAAAGTAGCATTTGCAACTTACTGGAAACTTTTACAGGCAAGTGAGTTATTGGCAGTATGCAACATTGTGTGCCTTAGCTGATTATGCTGCAATAGAAGTTAATGTGTTTTGGCTTGTTTTTAGCTGCTTTAGGAAGTACTGGCTACTAGTTGTATGGGTACTAAGTATCATTGCCATGACAGTTTTGGATATTGCCTTGAACTTGTTAAGCCATTGCTTTTTCATATGTTGCAAACACTACTGTAAACACTCCACAATTTACATGTAGCAACTAATTATGGATTAAACAATTTATACTTAGCTGGATCTATTTCGTTGCAAGCAAGCATTCTGTTTCCCACCTACTCACCACTTCCACAGTTTTTATGTGCTGACCTGAAACTCTTGAGTTGTTGGGGGACAAACAACCCAGTTTCATTGGCCGGAAACCCTATTTATCTATGTTATCCACTATATTTTATTTTATACTTTATTGTAAAATGCCCAGAGAGTTTGGCTACTAGTGGTATAGAAATAGAATAAAATAACATATACCTGAATTGTTTGTCCCTTGGCAACCCAAGGTTCTCAAGTTTGGACATCACATCAAACAATCCAGGAATGCCCTGTTCATACATTATTTTACAACAGAATTCTGCAACCTTGCATCTTCCATATGCTTTAGACTACAATTGTCATAATCCTTGACAATTAGCTCTGCTGGACGTGACTTACTGGTGCAGCAATTCAAAGCATTTGTAAAGACCCCGGATTGGGGAAGGCAGTTCTAAATAATCTGAATGCTTTAGATTGGGGGAGGGTGTTTTAATATGCTCTACCAAGAGCAATCAGTAGAATTACTAATTAGTTAATGGTTCTTCTTAACACACAAGATAAACTCTTACTTAGTAGAACTAGAATTGCAAGAAAAAGAGTTGCAGTATCAAATACATTTTATTAACATTTTTATTGTTGTTGTAAAAACATTCAAATGAACATTAACTCAGAAATCAGGGCCCAAAACAACTGCCTTGTAAATGGCTGCAGTGATTTTTGGGAGAAGTGAATTCTGGGCTCCGATAGAAATGGTACCACCCAAAAATCTAGAATAGTTTTATATATTCTTCATAGACTAACCAGGGGAAATTACATTCTATCTATATGATAATATATGGTCTCTGATGTGTCTTATTTAGGGTTAGAGCAAAGTTCAAACTTTTTTCTAGGTAGTCCCTTAGTCACACTGGAATAATCTAAAACGTGTGTTCCTGTCAGATGGTTGTATATCATAAAGCCAAAGTCCAGGAATGGTGGCTCATGTGCTTCACTATTTTACTTGTAGATTAAGGACATACTCCTCATTCAAAAGTTTCAGCTATTCACAATTCAGTATTTGGCAAAGCATTTATAGAATGTTATATGGTAGATAACTTTAAGATAAGGAAGAACATCCAAATAGCTTTTTGGTGGACAAGGTATGCTGAAACCACACAGTACAATTCCTCATAGTCTACAGGCAGAAAGTAACTCAGCCTTCATCAGTCTATGCACTACACTCTGTATGACTAACATCAGTAGACAAAGCATTGATTGCAGTTGTACAACAGTTGCCTGAGGTGCTCCAAAATGAGCAAGATGCATCCTTCTGGAACAAAAGGATGCTCTGATTTCCCAGGATTCTTCTGATAGTAAAAGTGTTCCAAGTAATAGCTCCTATGTTAACACTTACATCAAGGGGGGGGGGCAGTTTTGGAAGATCTGATGACCAATATTGCCAGCCAGAAAAAAAGCAGTATTTCCACTTGAAATGAATTTTATTTTTAATGCAAAACTCATGCTCATGGAAACTCCAAAGAAGGCTTTGCTTTAAAACAAGGCACATAGCCCCCATGTAGCTTATTTTAAATTGAAAATGAGCCTTTTGTTCTTTAGCAGTAGAAATTTGGGAGGCATGTAAAAAAGGATGCAGCCCACAGGATACATGCTGTGAACCCGATTTAAGTGCTCAGAATGGGATATATCACCTACTCCAGTGCAATGTCCAGGCAGAGCTTCTGGCAGAAGTGTCTAAGATCTAGAGTCAAGGAGCACTGAGTAACTCACCTAAACTTTCTCCACATCTAAGCAGCCTTCAATACAATCTACCAGCAATGTCAGAAGAGATGCTTATGTGCATACAACCTGTGAAGCTTGAATTTGATTTAGTCAAAGGAAAGTAATAGCACCTTGATTTGTATGTAAGTTCAAAAAATTATGTATGCAGTTTGCAGTAAAGAAAATATAAAAACTTGAGAGATGTAAAATACATGTTAATTAATGTAGGTTTTGTGAATGTTTTCTTAAGAAGTACACCAACAGTGCAAATTTAAGATCTTTTCTGTTTCGTGCTTGACAAAAATAACTTTTTTTTCACAAAATAGGTAACCACTTTGTTTGATCTATATTAAGTAGGCTCAATTTGTGTAATTTCAATTAACAAAAACATCTGAGGAAATATTAAATACATACCATTAATCCATAAATCTCAGACGAACTCCGTATTTTGGGAAGTATTTTCATAGGAATTTCAAAAAATCTGGGGAGAAAAACATGTTTTAAAGGTTAGGGTGAAACCCTCCATGTTTGCTACTTATGAAGCAGTGGGAAAAAGAATGGAGAAAAAATAATTAAGAGAAGACTATAAAAACCACTATTTTCATAAACTTATCTTTTTAATGCAGTATTTTCCAGTAAGATATGCAAGGCTGATAAAGCTGACTTACCCCTGTGGAAGTTCCTTGTAAACTAACCATTAGTTAAATAGCAAACTACTTTGCTAAATACACGCTATCCTTTACTTACAAAGTATCATATCAGCAAGGCAGAAATCACTACACTGTATTGGCAAGAGTTACAAATGGTCACTGGGAATGGCAGTGGAGGGTGCCAGACTTGAGCCCAGATATGAACTTCAGAGATCATGACATCTGCTCACAGAAGACGCACTAGCAGCCTGAAAATACTTCTGCATGGATGAAATCCAAGCTGAAGAATGCACAGCTTACCACTTTCCCTACCAACCCAGCCTTAAACCACAGCTTTGTGTGGCATGGGGAAGTGCCCCTGGACCTCTCTTTGGCACAGAAAATTTCTGTGCAGATCCATCATTTTCATCCAGGGATCATGGGATCTTTGCTTCTTGGTTAAACTGATAGTCCAGTATAGCCAGAACTCCTGGCCACAAGGTAGCAAAAACTTGTTTTTCCATGTCAGAATGAAAAGACCATGTTAAGGGCTTTTCCATGCATTTTTGGGAAAATAATAGCTAGGAGTTACCCTCCACTGAATGAACAGAACTTACTTTAAAACAAACTTGCTTATAATCAGGATATCAGTTTGGCTTTTTGAAAATGTCAAGAAAACTTGTTAGTTCAGTAAATGTATAGACACCTGCACAAACACAGTACTTACTTGCACAGTTCCTCATCCCATTCCAGTGAATGAATGTTGAATAGCATTGTTCTACTAGCATTTGTTACATCAGTGCAATGAATACCTCCATCTTTTCCACCTGTCAAACTCTGAATAAACAAAAATAGTCAAGAATAGATTAATAAAACTGTAAGTTAAGATACAGCTAAGCTAATAAGAGAAGTTGAGAATTTTGCATACTATGAATTAGCTGTTAAGGTCAGTAACAGGAATAGAGAGAGAAGCAGTGATTTTCTTAATTTAATGCACACAAGGGAAAGAATTATATAGGTGGTCTAGAGCACCATTCATAATGGCTGAGGTGCTTCAGCTGGGTCCTGTTTCCAGGACTCGCAGTAACGTTTTGCTCTTATGCACAGGACACTAGAGGCCTATGCACATGCTGCCTCTTCATACTTTCAGTGAATGGAGAAATGGGGGCAGGGGGAAGGATCATGCTCACTGGTTGCACCTTCTGACATTACACACTTCGCATGATTTATTCTTTATAACAGTTCTGCACCAAGTCACCAAAAAATTAAAATAAAATTGTAATTCCACCATATAGAAACTGGAATAAAGCCATGCTGAAACATTAAAATCACCACAAGTGATTTAAAAGGGTTCTTACATACAACCAGTGAGCCTAACTTGCTAAGATTCTTAATTCCAAGGGGAAGTTATAAGGATGTAGGCCCCCTTTCATGCCTATGCCAAACATGTACCCACAGATCTGTGTGGTCAGCAGCGTATGTGCCTGGCATGGGGTCATGAGAGCAAGGGGCTTGGAACCACAATTTTCCAGTGTACTACTTCCTAATGCAAGCTTGATCATAAGAACTTCAAACCTGTTGATTATAATAGATATGTGCCCATTTTATTTCAGTTTAAAACGAGTCTGTTGCCAGTATTGTGCGAGGCAAATTATGAATTCAAATTAATGCACCTGAAGATGTGGCAGAAAGAAACTTCTTTGTGCCAAGACTGAAGGCTGTTTAATTCAAGCTGAGGGAGGACAGGAGCAAAACAACTTGATTTGCGTATAGCCTATTGAGACATACCCATATCAGCCATGAATCAATTGTACCAAACAGAGCTCGCTCCTCCAGAACTGCTTGCCTGACCTCGTTCACGTTGTCTAGCAGCCAGCGAAGCTTCACAGCACTGAAATACGTGCTAAGTGGGAGGCCAGTCCTACTCTGCAAGATTTAGAGTCAATCAGGATATAAAAGATAAACACCTGCAATAAAACTTCCAAAGAAGGTTCATCTCTGTAGTATGAGCATAATAAAAAGGGATATAGTCATAGTGACATTACCAGTCACTCTTTTATATTGTGTCCTGTACATATGGTACAACCCAGCTCCAACATGATCCACTATCAAAGATCAAGAGAGAGGATAGTATAAGATTTGCCACGTAGCAAACACACAGAAACTCTTCTAAAGGTCAAGTTTTGTACAGCCTGATTACCTGTAATTGCCCACTAAATGCTGATAGGAATGTACTGAAAATGACAGCAGTCATTATCAAAGTAGGTAGATTAAAATACTGCTTTACTCATATCTTCCCAAACAGCATTATTTCCTGATCACAGACAGTGGCATGTTATATCTTAAATAGAAATATATACACTGAAACAATCTTTCTTAAAATATAAAGTCTCTGAGAAACATTTGGTAGCTTCATATTTTCAGTTGTTCAATAAACTGAACCCCTACTATCCTACTTGCTACCACCTTGGCAAGAGGAGGAGTTGTTGTGTTGTTATTATAATAATAATAATAATAATAATAATTATTATTATTATTATTATTATTATTTTGCAGGGTGAGGGATTATTTAGGCTGCAATCCTATATCAGTTTACCTCTGTAAAATCACCACAGAACTCAATGGAACTTACTTCTGAATAGAGATGCACAGGATTGCATTGTTAACCTTTCCACTTCGATACATAACTACTTCATTCAACCTTTCTTGACCTCCTTATAATTCTCTATTCAGTTTCTCCAGATGCTGATCTTATTGATCTAGTAAGACGATTTCATATTATACAGAACAATGCTAGTCTAGGCCAAACAGTGTTCATTATAAACAAGATAATACCATCTGATATCATCAAATCTCTTCCTGATATTCTAAATTACATTTTACCTTTAAAAAGGATTTATTCTGCCCTGGAATTCTTTTAAGCAGCCTCTCAACTGTGGGCTGGGTCCTTAGGTCAAGCCACACTATAATCCAAAAACAAACAGTGTTAGGTAAGGATTGCTTTGCAGAAACTTTAAGCAATTCATTAACTGGGCAAGACCAGGGTTCTGAAAATGTGAACAGGCCTTGACAGTTAAAACTTTTCACAACTGTAATGCTGGATAATGCTTTAATAATTATGGGCTTCCTTGTATATAGTAACTATGAACTAATATTTATATATAGCTGAATTACAAGGGGATAGGGAATCGTATTTATATTGCTGGCATTTGTTACCTCTATATTGTTATTGGAGTGCTAACCCCTTGACACTGCAATAGCCTTGGCTATTGGGCAGTATAAAAATGAAATAAAATGTATAAGCTACCAATTGTGGCAGTCCTAATGTCTGGAGTTAAAATATCTATTGAAATGTCCCATATTCTGCAGAATAAGTGAAACCTTTGGGACTGGCTAAGTGCAAAGCTGGTACAGTGGGGCCTCCTACTTTGAATTTAATTCATTTCAGGAGGCTGTTTGAACTATGAATCATTTGAAGTTTGAACAATTCTCCCCATTAGAAAAAATGGAAAGTGAATTAATCTGTTCCCAGACCCTAAATGATATCCATTTCGATAAACAAAAAATACGGTCTCCTGAAATGAATTAAATTTGAAGTACGAGGCACCATTGTATTAAAATTTATGTAATGTTGTGTTAGTCCATTTACTGTACCTTAGTGAGAAGTGATTTTATTTATATATATATATATATATATATATATATATATATATATATAACCAAAAGTGAAAAAACCACTGAAAACGCACAAAAATATACAAGCATTATGCAAAAGATGTTTCACAGCAAAAGATGACTTGGGTGTACAACAGATGACGTTATGTCGCAACCACATATTTTTCACTTTGCATGCAGTTCAAACGTAAAAGAATCGTTTGAACTTCGCAGCAAATTTATCTTGACTTTAATGATCGAACATTGGATCGTTCAAAGTTAGAGTTGTTCGAAGTGTGAGGCACCACTGTATTGGAAATTCAGTATTTCTGTTTTAGTTTAGGAGGACTATTTGTTGCATTTATTTCCAAGAAATAAATTCTGTCTGAAAAGTGAAGGCAAAAATGTTATTGGGTGATAATATTTCTGTAATTGTAAAAGTGCTCCCCACAACTAAGACTTTAGAGCAGGGGTCCTCAAACTTTTTGAATAGGAGGCCAGTTGAAAGGTGCTAGGGATGGACGCAGGCCGCCAAGGCGGTGTGGGTGGGGGGCGCGGGCCAGGGCGGGCATGGAAAGGGGACAGAAGACTTTCAGTCTGTGAAATTATGTTAGTACCCACTCTACCCAATTCATTCCAAACTAATGCTGATTCAGAATCTTATGCCATATTGCTCCATGCTTGATTTTTTTCATTCCCTCTTCTTGCAGCACTCCTCCAACAGCTGTATCTTGTTCAGAACAGGGCAGCACAGCAGCGTGAACAGTAAGGAAGTGAAGGTCACATTATGGCCACTGTGTGAATGTTACATCAACTTGCCTCAACCTGGTGTCCTCCAGAAGTGTTGCTATTTTACACTGACTGTCTGAAGAGTGATAGATTTATTCCAGATTAAAACAATGCACAGAAGCTCATCTGCATTTGAAATGTCAGAATTCTCTCATACTGGCCATCTTTACTTCAGACACTCTTAGGAGACCCTGGCATGATGACTCCATAGATAATGTAGCCTTTGCTGTAACTGCATCCTGCTGCAGAGGACAACTAGGCCCTTTCAGAATAGAATTTGCTCATTTAGGTATCAGTGCAGCAGATGGACAAAATACAGAGGAAAGCAAAACTAGAATCTCCAGTTTTTACTAAATTCTAATTACTTGAATGACATTTGCAGGCAAGAGAAAAAAGTACATGTTTGTTAATACATTAAAGCAAAGCATTAGCCAATGGTTTAGTGGAAGACCACATTCTTACTTACCAATAGCATTATAGAGAGGTTCTCCAGTTAGTTTGTCCCAAACCACAGTTGTCTCTCTCTGATTGCTAACTCCAACAGCTTAACAACAAAAGAAAGTTTTAATGTTTTCTAGATTTAATTTTACATACTCTAGACTGGATGCAGAAATAGATGAGCAGAGCTTGGCTCATGCACTGCAGTTTACTTGCTCCTTCTCTGACTACAGAATTCTTTACCCTTCCCCAACAAGGTCATTTCTTAGGAAAGGAATGGCATGTGATAGGCACTGGGGACACCAGTAGAATGGATAAAGAGAATTTAGCAGTGCTTTTCTAACTGTTTCCTAGTGTATATCTTTTACAAATATTTCAATAACCTTAATCAATTATCATTTAATAGCTATCTTATTTACTATTCATAAACTTTGTGTACATCAAAGATACTGACTGGGATACAGAAATGACTGTTTATTCACAAAGTACTCCTGCCCACTCATTATAGAAACATAGAAACAGAGTGAGTCAAAAGGGGCCTCCCGGGCCATCTTGTCTGACCCCTGGCTCCAGCTGGCTCTGCTCACGACATGCCCACCATGTGCATGTCCAGCCTATCTTGAACACCCTCACCAATGGGGTCTCAATGACCTCTTGTGGAAGCCCATTCCACACCCTCGGGGTCTTAACTGTCACGAAGTGCTTCCTGGCATCTAAATGGAACCTTGGTTCCCTGAGCTTTGCTCCGTTAGAGTACGTCCTGCTTTCCTCTGCAGGGGAGAACAGGTCTCTGCTCATCTCCATGTGACATTCCCTCACATACCTGTATGTCGTCAACACATCCCCTCTGAGTCTCCTCTTCTCCAGGCTGAAGAGACCTAGTTCCCTCAGTCTCACCTCATACCCCATCCCATGCAAACCAGCCACCAACCTTGTGGCCCTATGCTGCACTGACTCTAACCTGGCTATATCCTTCCTGTAATGAGGGGTCCAAAACTGAGCACAATACTCCAGTTGTGGGTGCACCAGAGTCGTATAGAGTGGTAGTAATACCTCAAATAGTTGTATAGAGTGGTAGTAATTATGGAAGAGGGGAGTTTGCTGATACTTGGTTTTCAGCAGCAGCTCTTTGGACTAAGTGGAATGCTACTCTTGACAGTCTCTGGGGTGGGTTTGTGAGAGGGAAGAGAGAACAGCAGGCTGCCTGCCAGAAAGGAAGGTTGAAAAGGCTGGGCAAAAGACCATGCATGGCCCAGTGCCGTGCTATACTTCCAAAAAACACACAAGGTAAACAATTTATAGCTTAATTTCCATGTTATCCTAACTACAGGAAAGGTCACTAATGGCACATTAATAAGGTACAAAAATATATTGTCTGTTTTATTCCCAACACTTTAATAGGTTGGTTCCTACTTTACATATCACATTTCTAAAGTTTGCAACTCCACCCCTCCCTGCTTTGGTTTGGGAAATCATTCATTACTTTAATTTTGAAAATCAGCAATACCTTTTATATTGGCAATGTCTACATTCAGATGGTTCAGTTTCTCACATGTTTTTTCCACACATTCATAGACAGATTGTAGTATTTCCTTTGGATCTTGTTCTACCCACCTTGAACAGACAAGGAACATAAAAGCAAAGCCAACACCAAAAGGCTACATTTTGCAACTGACATTATGGACACAAAATATCACAAAGACATGCTTGCTCATGTTATCAGCTTAGAACTTAACTGCTATTATCAAAACTTTAAAGGATAATTTTTGGCTCAGATGCAATTATTAGCTTATGTTGCTTAAGGAAAAAAAAGTATCTATCTTCATTGCATGTTTTATACATTAGACAAGTAAAACAGTATTTGCAGTACGAACATGTTAAAAACTAGAACATCTATTTATAATCTTGTCAAGACTGTGTTGTATGTGTACTTTTATTGTTGCAGAACCAGGAAAAAATATTTTAAGAAGGGAAAATTCATTTCCAAGCTAGAGGTTAAGCTGCCAATTTTCCATTGTGAAAAAATGTGAACAGTCAGTACTTTAAAAGCCTTAAAAAAAATGGATGCCGAGAGGTCAAACTTTGGACAGCTTGTTAAGACCATTTCCTGCACAAGTCATTTGAAGTGACATTTCTATTAAGAGTTAAGTAGCTATACAAATGTTATAACATCTGACAAGTTAATTGCTTACTGCTTTTCTAGAGAATTTTAGAAATTTCATCACATGATCAGAAAATATAGGAGAAAAGATCAAATAATCTAACTGATTTTTCTTCTCAAAAAATTGTTCTCTAATGTCACCAAAGTATTTTTCTTAAAGAAGCATACCAAAAGCACACAGACAAGTATATTATTGCAAAGACATCCACCTTTTGAACTTGATCTCACTTTTCTGTAAACAAACCATTCCAATAAGTTGAGCAGAAACATGTAGGACTGAATCAAAAGCAGTGCAAGTGGAACTTGACTCATGAAATGCAGCCTTCCTACCTCTAACTCATGTGCCTTCTAAAAACCACACCCCCTCAAAGAACTTCAAAAAAACAAAGATATGGTATGTTGAGCTGCAGAAAGAGGGGGATTGGTGCAAATTGGAGAAAGGCAATTTGAAGATTGCAAGTACCTTTCCACTTAGGTAGGGCACCTTTGGATCCAAGCCATATACTTTAATATCACACTAAATGGCTAATATTCAAGAACACAAAGGAGGAAACCATACCCTTCTTTCGGAAATTTCTGTTTGATTTCTACTTGGTGGTGACTCAACAATTCAGCTGTGTCTGCATTAAAAACCTGCAAACAACACAACACAAAAATTCACCAAACCAGTTTGTTAAACCAACAATTACAGTGAGTAGCAGACAAAAAAATCTGGCACCCACATCTTAAACAATTTCTTGGAAGCAAGTTCCGCTGATGACAGAGACATTAAGATACAGATTAACAGTCCTAAGAAAATGCTGTATGTTTTATCCATAACAGAAAATTAACAAGGAGCAGGATGATACAAGTACTCTCACTTAATTCTAGAATGGGACATTCAACAATATGTTGCTGTAAGTTTAAGTGAAACATACTTTTTAAAATAAGATTTTGGGGTTCATGAATTATACTACAGTTTTTACAACCACATGAAAAGATTTTGCAGTAATATGAAATTTCAGTATATTGAGAAGACAAAGGGAAGTAGCAGGTCATTTCTGGGGATTATGAACAAGATGACAGATGAATTAAGGATAACTCCCTTACAGTCTGAGTCACTACTAATAGAAAAGAAAGAATATAAGGAGCAGGGGGACATATAAAGAAATGTAAACTAATTATCTATTTAGTGGGCAATCCTATGCATGTTTGGACAGAATGAAGTCCTATCAACTCTCAACATGCCCCAACAAGTATGATTGGCCAGGTCATGCAGGAAGTTGTAAGACTTTTTCTATCTAAACATGCTGATTGTTGCTTTCCTGGAACATAAATGCTATCACCGGTACAATAATATTCTTCCATTTTAAGACTGGTAAAAATCATTTTATACTGTAAAAGGAAAATGTTGAGATTAGAGTTCGTGCATCCTTTTTCAAACTTCTTAAATGTAAATGCAATCCCAAATTTGCTCCTCTTCCATGCTTGAAGTAGCTTTAGGAAAAATGCTAATACATTTGAAATTCCTGGGTAACTATATATTAAACTATGAACGAAGAGGAGCTTTGAATATAGAACATCAATAATCTAATGTAATTAAAACATGTAATAATATGGTTTGTTCTATAAAAAATAAAGACAATTATGAAGCTTTCCTGTTCATCTGAATTATGCCAGCTGAGGTTCCACCTGATCCTTATCAGAAGGCATTAGCACTGATTCTTCTTTTCAATCTGTAGTTAAGAAAATTATTGCTACTAAATCTTTGTGCAAACGCATAAAAAGTAGAGCATAATTAAAAGCATGTGTGGCTTTTAAGAAAAGAAAACAAAAAGAAAAACTTTCTCTTACATACAAAACAAGCAATGTTATGTTTAAATCTTTTAATTATACCACACTTTAAGAATATTGAAAAGAAGGCTCCATAAATAAATACTATACTAGGTTCTGGCCACTACCAGTCAGTGTTAAACAACACTGGGCTACATGGACATCTGAGTGATACCATAGTGCAGGACATGGAATAAGCAAGTCAAGCTGTGACAACCCAGATTCAGGCTGCACATCAGGAAAAGCTTCCTCACTGTCAGAGCAATATGACAGTGGAACCAGCTGCCTAGAGAAGTGGTAGGCTCTCCCACACTAGAGACATTCAATAAGAAACTGGACCACCTGAGTGGGATGGTGTAAACTGGTGTCCTGCAACAGCAAGGGGTGGGACCCGATAGCCTTCAAGGCCCTTCCAACTCTAGAATTCTATGAGTCTATGTGATATAGCCTAAGGGTGAAATCCTATGTATGTTCTGACAGAAAAATTCCTTCAACTTCCAGCAAGCAGTTGTACTATGACTTATACCTGGTATAAGGCAGCTTCCTATATTTTTTTACACAGGTACATTGCTACATTTAAAATTAAATAAAAATAATATGTTACCAGTTGTTGATAAAGAAGCCCTTTTGATTCATTCTCCATCTGCTTCCTAAACTTGTCAAAAAAAGCACAGGCCCTTTATGGCTAACTTAAAACAAATTCCCAATGTATTAAGACAATGTTAGAAAACAGATGATGATAGCCTTGTAAAAAGTAATGACAAAGATGAGCTATAAAAAGGCATGCATTGTAAGAGGGAACAAGCAATAATCAATATAGTGTAGGACTGTCGACACTAACAAAGTTTCAGACAGGAATTTTTATCACACTATCTGAAGACAGAACCTTTGAACCTGGCTTGACCAATGAACTATGTCCCTTGTTATAGCTAACTATTTTAGTTTACTGAGAGAAATGTACATGATAAGGCATTATATTCTAGAACAGTTTTTACTGGAAAATATATGGACTGCATATTCCTATGAAAGGAATATTCAACCAGTGAGTTTAATTATTTAAGGTGCCGATGGAGAACATGTAGTCCTCTAGATAGTATTGGACTACAGCTCTTATGGATATGTGGGTTATGGCCAATGGGAGCTGCAGTTCAACAATACCTGCAGGGCCACACATTTCCTATAGCTTACTTAAAATGAAGTGAAAAAGACTTGAATCAGAATAAAAAGCAGCACACACCCATTTTGGCTCAATTCAGATGTTATGAATTTAGATTAATGTGCTTCACATGGAACACATGAAAATGTTCAAAAGGCTTTGCACAATTTTGCAAAGGCTTAGTCTGAGTGCATTTTATATACAAAATGGCACCAGTTCTCAAACAACCTCACTAGTTTTGCATGTTGCTGAGACCAATTCAAGGTGCTAATTCTTACTTGTAAAGCCCCAAACAGCCAGGGGATCTGAGTGACGATCTCCTTTCTTATGAACCTGCCTGGAACCTACATTCATTGTCAGAGCCCCCACTGTGTGTTCCATCTCCTAGAAACATGGGGCAAGTGGGGACTTCAGAGAGAGCTTTTTGTGTAGAAGCCTGCCCATTATGCGAGCCTTTCCAAGGAAGTTAGTGTGTGTCCCTTGTTATTGGCCTTTAGAGAGTGGTAAAAACTATACTGAGTGGACTATGGGGGATGGTGGAGGACAGGAAGGCCTGGAGGAATGTTGTCCATGGGGTCGCGATGGTTCGGACACGACTGATGGTTCGGACACGACTTCGTGACTAACAACCACAACAAAAGCTATACTAATCCTGCCTCTTGAATTTACACAATAAAACAATTCCTGTTTTATTGCCATTTATGTATTTGATCAGTTTTGTTTTCATTTGTGCTTTGTTTTAGATAGCTATATTTTATTGTGTGGTGTTATTGCAAATGTTCTTAATCCCTCATTAAATGGAGGACTGATAAAAAAAGTACATTAAATAGATTACTATTTGCTTGCATTTCCCTTGTTAAACACTGTGTCTTTAAGGTACAGTAACCTCTAAGTGCAAAGCAACACCTTATCTCTGGTTTGTCAATGCAGATGTCATACCAAACCATAGTTAATAAATGAACTTCTAACCATGGTTTCCAAGGCTAATTGGCCAGTGAATTTTAAACCATGAAACATCAGGCAACTGATACCCTTCCTTGGTTGATGCTTGTACTGAGCAAAGCTACACAGCCCACCCCCCCATCTCCATTTCCCACAAATACTGTTTTAGAATGCACCATCAGAGAATGTTACACTGCTCTTTAAACTTCGCTCAGTTTTAAAAACCAGAGTATTGAGTACTAAAAGTACAGTAACTTCTAAAAACAGTCTTTGAAATCACATGCACAGAAAATCAAATCAAATCAAAAGAAAACATTTCATACCAAAATAGGGGAGGATGAAACTGACAAGGGGATGAAACTGAAATGTCATATGATGGATTTATTAGTTCTTTTCTTGTTGCATTATATATTCATCAGGACAGGAGCAACAGCAATTAGAGAAATTGTACCATTGTGAGCATCTATTTCCCCTGACAAGCTTCCTTTTAAATGTATTCTTAAGCCCCATTTCTTTTTTAAACACAGAGTATTTACATAGCAACTTGGGACACAGAAGTATTTTCAAAAAGTGATATTCAGGAAAACACTACCACCGGGTGAATATATACACATAACCCTGTGGGCTTTTTCAGGTGTCCTCATGGATACAAACCAACACATCTCAAGGAGAAATGCTAGTAATTTTGGTGATGTCTAGATGTGTTGGTTTATAATTCCCATCATCCCCAGACAGCATGAAGGGCACCAGGTTGGGGAAGATCCAGTCATCTAAATAAGCAAGTGGAGAGAAGCTGCCCATGAAGACAGGTGAATGGCTATTTAAAAGGAGCAACTGATCTATTTATAAGGATCATTGGGATAAAATGAAGAACAACAAGTAGTTTAGGGTTAGGAAATCCCTCTGACATAATCCTCATTGAATTATGAACCTCACTAGTGAGCCTGGTGTAGCTCAAAGCTGAGAAAAAGGGAATTGTAAGACATTTTCTATATAACTAATAGGATAAAACTAATGGCTAGCTTACTACTGCAGGATCAATACATAATCTTAGGCTTCCGAATGATACTGCAAGGATGTATTTCTTTTTTCACCACTACACAGCCCAAATTATCTATAAAGCAAATTCTACAGAAGACTCTATTGATATCATAGGAACTTGCAGATTCATTTGGGTCCCAGAATAGGCCTTTAGGCTTTATTGCACACACCAAGGTACTCAGTATCAAATCTGGCCTATTGCCATTAATGAACTACAGAATGTTCACAGTAGCATAAAAAATGACAAACTGAGCCTTCTACCTCATGCTAAGTTGAAAGCAGCATGCACAAAGAATGTGCCAAAGCATTTGAAAACACTGGTGCAGGGTAAATATTCTTGTGTGCGTATGTCTTTCCATGCTGTAATTATATCACTTGCTTTTTATACATTTCCCTTATTTGTCATAGGATTCTACCACAGCAGGAAAGACTTTAGACTGTCCCTTAAAGCTATTTTGTTCTTTCACTAATTCTGCTAGGTACTTATGGGGTTGTTTATTTGGGAAGAAAGAGCAAGGGTAAGAAGGGGCACCAAAAATGACAATGAGGATGTTTAAAGAACCAGCTTGGAGTAGGCTTTATTTATTTATTTATTTATTACTGACAGCATTTTAAAGACGGTTGATCTTAAAGCTGGGGAAATGCTTTTTTTTTTTTTTTCCTGGCAGTCACTCATTCCTTGTGCTCTAGGCATCAACCTATAGAAAGCCAAACAATTTTTCATCTGATATATAAGACTGAAGTACTTCGAACACAATGGAATATTCCCAAGTATATGTGGGTAGGGCTGCAGTTGCAAAACTGGATTGGGCACGTGTCATCTTACAGGAAACAAACTTTGCATTTAGCATGTGAATCAAGTACAAACCCAGCTCCCTTGCCTTGGTTCCTAGTTTTCAGTTTCATAGCAGGGCATCCGATGCGTGTTAAATGAGACGACATGCAGTGCAGTGCACGTTGACCTCTGAATGTGGCAACACCACTGATTTCTCAAAGGCTTACTCACACTAGAAAGCAACGCAAAGAGCCTCTGTTGCACTTACTTACATCAGCGGTGCTCATTTCCCGAGAACTGCAAAGCTGGGCGTGGGTCTGTCTTGGAAACGCCACCCTCTCATTCAGAAGCCCTTTCCCCGCCCTCACCGACAGGTGGGGGGCGGGCATGAGGGGCGCCCTGTACCTACTCAAGGGCATTTCCTCCAGGGCTCTGGAAACACTTGCCGAACCGAGCCCTCTGCCTTAGGCGGGAGATACCCTTCGCCGGCCCATCCCCTCTCGGCCTCCCTTGTCGCCGGCTCCCGTCCTCCACGCTGACCCCCCAAGGGCAACCTCGCCCCTTGCCGCCTGTCTTCTCCGGCTGGCCGGGCGCGGCCGCTTTATTCGCCCCGTTCCGGTCGGGCTTACCAAGAAGCGCGTGGAGCTGGTCCCTTGGTCGATGGCCCCCACCAGAGGGCCCATCGCCCCACCCTGGCCTGCCGCCGCTGCCATGGGGAGGCTCCGTCGGCGCGACCGCGGCCGTCTCCTAGGCGACCCCGCTAGCCCGGCAGGAAGCGCCAACGAACACTGACAGGCGGCCGAGCCGGCGCTCTTCGCTCTCTCTCACTCTTTACAACCGCGCGTGGCTTCGCGGATCACAAGGGACAGCGGGCGGGGAAGGGGGAGCTGCCCCTCGGCCACCAATCAATGCGCGGGGAGGCGGGGAGGGCGGGGTTTCCACCCGCAGCAGGAAATGGAAGCAGGGCTCGCGAAGGGAAGAGCGCGGAGAAGCCGGGCGGTCACGTGCGCCGGATCTCTGACGTACCTGCCGCCCCTCAGCATCGCTCTTGCCACGCTGCCTGCCTGTTGCGGTCACAGCGGATTTGCATTGCGCGGGTGGGCGGTGGCGGCGTTCGTGATGCAAGAGCCTTTGCGTTGCGCGCCCCGGGTTGGGCGACTCTGGCGGCTTGCCCTGCGCGTTCTTCTGCCTTCCCATTGTGAGGCAATCGCCCGCCCCCGACAGCGCTCTCCCATCACTGGTTGAAGACGGAAAAGATGGATGGGGCACCTGCCCAGGGACCACACCCCGGCAGGGTGTGCCTGGACGGAATTCCCTGGAGTTGCTCCCCCTTCTCATCATCGCCACCACCATTGCAAGCGGCTTGTTCACCTGCTTCTTGCCCTGGCCCAGGCAATGGAGGCAGCAATGAGGAGCAACAGTATATGCTACCGCATATCTGCTTGCTGGGTCTCTGCCGGTTAGGCAGGTGGTGAGGATGAGCAGTGATACTGCTGGCCACAGTAATAGTGGGAGGGTAAACTCACTAAGGAAGGGAGCCCATTGGGGTCCCTTGATTAAGGGCCCTCCAAAATCTGGAGCTGCTATTGCAAGGAATTCTGCTTTAGACTTTTCCCCTCTTTCAAATAAGAGAAAAAATTAGAAATGTGCATTGACAAGAAGTCATGCTTGCCTGGGAGTAGGTGCATACTTGGAGTATGTGTAGTTGCTCAGTGGGTCTTACTTCTGGGTAAAAGTGCATAAGTTAGCATTGCAGTTCCTAAAGTGATGCCTCATTAGTTGTGGGGCTATTTGTCAAAAAACAACTATAGTGAGATAAGTGCCTTTAACTTTACTGCATGAAGCTCTTTTTCTGTCTAACTCTCTGAAATCCATAGCAACAGCATGGATTGTTGGACAGATGTTGAGAGAAATAAATTTTAATTTGCTGCCTAGAAGAGGAAAGTGTAGGTGCTGAGCAATATTTCTGTCCAGAGTCTTCTGTAAGTGGAGTGCTACTACAAAATAATAACCCTTTCCTCAGTCACACCCAGCTAACTTATGACAACAGAGGCATGCCAGGACAAGGTCTCAAGAAAGTGTAAGCCTCACGCTGTCATGCATGGGGTATCTTGCCCCTCACAGAAAATGAATGGGTTCATTAGTGCTAGATAAACACTGTAAGGTTACTGCAGATGTGTCCATGCCCCTGTGTGCACAGGACTCACACACTGGAAGGAGATGTCTCGCCGCTGCATCCATGCAGAGGGCATCAGCATAGGGATGGAGGTGGAATGCCATATAGAGAATGCAACATGGGGAATGTGCTGCCGCCAGGGCTGGACTTGCCACAAACTACATTAAGATGTGGCAACTGGGTTCAGATGTGCAAAGAAGTCATGGTGACGATTGTGAACAATACAAAACAACCATTGCCTTTCTTTGTGGTTCTACGGAGACTGTCCTTACAATGCTTCACTACTCTTGCTGGGTTCTAACTTAACAACAAGCTGTCCCACAGTGGTTTCCATCATGGCTTGTCTTAATGTGTGAGCCCTCCCCTACCCCATATGTCTAGTCAGAAGTAAGTCACACCCAGTTGCTTGGGACTTATTTCCTGATAAGTGGATATAGGGCTATAGAGTTGTGGTGTAATCCTATACTAATGTATGCATGGGAGTAAACTCCATTGAACTTCTGTATAGGCCAATATAGGATTGTACTGTGAATATTAAACAGTAGAGTATTTGTAGAGTATTTAAAAATGGGTTTTGTCATGCTCTCTCAGAAAAATATTTATCAACTGGCCATTTGACAATATTTTTTGACAATATGTAGGGTTAAGGAAAAGACAGCACATACCCATTTTTCTTTTTACTTTATTCTCCATGAATGCTACAAAGATGTTCAAAACATTTCAAATACTGTATATTGAGAAGGTCATAAGAAGAGACAAGCTGGGCCAGGCCAGTTGGCTATCCAGTCAAGTATTCTATTCACAGAGTGAGTGAGCAACCAGCTGTTCGTAAGATCCCACTAGCAGGACATGAGTGGATGAACACCCAAAATGCCCAGCAACTGGGGTACATAGGCATGCTGCCTCTTTTACTGGAGGTGGCATATAGCCGTCATTGATAACCTTCTCCTCCATTAAGTTGTCCAATTCCCTTTTAAAGCCATCCAAATTGGTAGCTGTCATTATACCTTGTGGAAGTAAATTCCATAGATAACTATGCATTGTGTGAAGCAGTATTTCTTTTCATCTGTACTGAATTTCCCACCGGTTAGCTGTATGGGATGACCTGTGGTTCTTCTATTATGGGAGAGGGAGCTAAATGGCTGCATATCCTCTTCTTCATACCATGCATACTTCTATACACCATTTTCATGTCTTCCCTTGCTCGCCTTTTTCCTAAGCTCAGCAGTCTCAGCTGTTGTAACTATTCAACATAGGAATGCTGTTCCAACCCTTCGATCATTTTAGTTGCCATTTTCTGTTCTTTTTTTAACTCTACAATACCCTTTTGTAGATGCAGTGGTTAAAACTGTATGCAATATTCTCAGTGTGGCTGCATCATAGATTTGTATAGCTTTGGCAGTTTTATTTTCAGGTTCCTAATGATGTCTTACATGAAGTTTGCTCTTCATAGCAGGTGCACACTGGATTGATATTTCAATCAGGTCGTCTACCACAACCCAAGATCCCTTTCTTGGTCACTCATAACCAGCTCAGCTCCAATCAAGTTATATTTGAAGTTGGGATGTTTCCCCACAACATGCATTACTTTATGCTTGCTTATTTGTGGTTCCATATAAATCACATTTGCCATTTTGATACCCATTCTCTCAGTTTGAAAAGATCTTTTTGGAGCTCTTCACAGTCCCTTCATTACCATATTAAATAGTTTGGTGTCATCGGCAAACTTGGCCACTTTACTGCTCACTCCAAATTCCAGATCATTTATGTTTAAGAGACTAAATTAGAGTAAATTTAGATTACAGTGCTTTCTGAAAATCAAAAAGCCTTAGAAATAAGGTGTGGCTTTCAGGTATTTAAAAAAAACAGGTCATTATGAGGGCAGTTTATTGCTTAATGAATACAGACAATAAGCTGGTTTGTTCAGTTTCCAAGGAGTACACATGTACAATCAAAAACTGTCATTTTTAAACAAAGTACTGTGCAAGATCACATAAGTTTCTTTCTGGGCCAATAACATCTCTGTTGTAGACTTTCATCGACAACGGTTGGATCAGTTCAGCAATATAAATATTAGCTCCCCGGCTTGAATTTGATCACAGCATATTTTCCCAGTTTTATCCCTGTAATTATTTATCTGTTATATTTATATTCCACCTTTCTCCTATTGTGAAACTCAGTGTGACTACATATGGTTTCATGTTTGGCTCCCCTCCAGACTCAGATCAGCCCCACATCTGCTTAACTTCAACATGGTGGATGCCTTGTGTGCCTTTTGAACTTTTGCTGTGGGCAATGCTTTGTTGCCCACAGAGAACAGGAGATATATGTGATATAATTTAAGCATGTATTCCATTAGCGTGATTGCTTCCCTAAACTTGTTTCCTGAATTTCAAACTATGCTAATAGCAGCAAAGGATATTAATTCAAGTTTCTACTTGGATTTTTTTTAAAGCATCTGTGGTCATTGGAAGTAAATGTTTTCAAGGCGCTTAGTTCAGAGTCTTCCAAATTTTTTGGCTGCAGGGAATCTTTTTTACAGTAGACCTGCAAATGAATCACCATATATTTATCATGGAATGGCTAGGTATTGTGGAGCATTTGAATACTGGTGGTGGCTGGTGACTTTGGAATAGGTGAGACTAGTTTCCTTAAACTAGGACTTAAGCCACATGTGTAAAGGAACAGTGTTTTTAATTGTGTGGAACGTTAATAAGTGCTATTACATCTACTGTTCTTTATGTAACCATGGATAGAGAGGAATGGCTTTCATGCGAAAAGGGCATGGGAATGGGTCAGTTCAGATCGTCAAGCAGTCATGGTTGACTGTGGCCTGTACAGGTGTTGTTCTGAATATTCAAATGACAACTGCAGCTTGACATGATGTGCTGAACTCAGTGGAGATGTGTTAACAAATCATCTACAACCTTAAAACCACCCACTTATTCTGAATGATTTGTTAACCACACCAACAACTCACCCTCATTGGGTTTAGATATCATGAGAAGCCATGATCATGGCTTGAATAGCCAGAAGTCATTGAGGTGTGTAGCTTAAATAAACCAGGGTGGGCTGTTGTGATCATGTGACCTGGGTCATTCATATCTATCCCAGCTCCTCACATTTAAAACTTAAGGATGCCAAATGGCATAAATTATTAAATTTGTAGATTTTTAATATTTATTTTTATTGCACAATTAAAAACAACCAACCCACGTTATTAATGAAAAAACAAAACTAAAGCATTGCGTTTTGAGTAAAATTTTGCAAGATCCAGAGCACTAGTTACACATATATATTATCTACCCCATATATATTCATAATGTGTATATACCAGTATTAAAAACAATTCTGCGCAAACCTCAACAAAGGCACCACAAATCCATTTGTAGACTCTGCCTAAAGGCCATCTGTACAAAAATTGAAAGTTTCATTAAATCCTCCACTCGTTTTCTTGCAGGTGGCAATTTACCCAGTGCTGTAATATTAGACTTTTAGCTGTCAGAAGGGTACAGAAAATCAATTGACATTGGCCTTGCACTGAATTCCAAGAAATGGGTAGGTAATTCAAAAGAATGTGTTCTTAAATCTTTCAGTGTGAAAAAAATTTCCATCACAAAATTCATTTGAATTATTACTTCCTCCCAGAAGAAAGCTTGCATTTGGCAT